AAAAAAAAAAAATGTGTATGGTTCTAATAGACAATTCTAATATACTATTTTTCATTGGGTAGATTCCTGCTACCTCTAGTCACCCTTAATCTCGGATATACTTGGGCTTTTTGCAACAAGGGACCTAAGTCTTTTTGTAGGTGATCTCCATCCTAAAAGACATTTATGATGAGTGTCCTAGCATTGTTCTTGTTCTCTCAGTGTATTATACAAAGCTAATTGTTCCAATGAACATGAATTCCATGAAAGGAAAGTATTAATACATGACCTTGGAGGTCTTCCCACCCACAGCCTATGAGGGATAACCTGGTGCGGTTCCTGGAAGCCACAATCCAGCTTTTTCTGAGCCTTTCCCCTTTTATTTGTTCTGTGATGCTTTGCTGGTACTAAGTGACATGGAGAATAAATCCCCCTTGGTTATTAAAAAATCTCTTATTCTTTTCTAAATCTCTACTGCTTTCTCTGATCAACCAGTGAAGAATTGAATATGGTACTCAAGAGATCAGTTTCAGAGTTTAAAAAAAAAGGTTTAGATTTTTATATTCTTTTCATCACTACTAAGTCTCCCTTTAGAGCTCTTTATTTTGTTTTTATATGTCTGTTCTTCTGCTGGTTGCTTTCCTGTTCTTGTTCAGTTTATAATGTTTTATTCTGAATAGAGAACATCTTATTCAATAAAAAATTGTCTTCAAATACCTGAGCTTACCAAGTAGCCAGAGTTGAGGTGGAGTGGGGACTCAATGGAGCAGTTTGGGAGCAGAAAGTGGCAACAGTTTTTGGCCTTATTACCCATGACTGGAACTTTATCCTTTTCCTGAAATTTTTCTAAGAATAATTTTCCTATTGTGCCCAAAGATTAAAGGAAAGATCATCAAATGATTTTACCTGTTCTGAGGCTTTTTGTATCCACATACAGCCTGTTTTTGGCCGATGTCTCCAGGGTTACTAGCCAATTGAAAGTTTGGGAACTAAATTTTATCTTTAGCTCTCCCATTTATGATTAGTAACCTTGAACCAACCACCTACTCTCTCTGGCTCTAATTTTATCAAGTGACAAATGGAAATAATTGGACCATCTAACCCCTTGGCGTGGTCGTAGGGAAAAATAATGGTAATGATTATAGTTACTGTGAAATAACAGAGGATTGAATGAATGCTTATTATTACAGTCATTCTAGGCTTTTAATCTCTGGGAGCATCTGAGCACTTAAATATATGATGAGGACTTAACGTGTATGAATTTGAACATGCCCTTCCTTTTCCTGCACCCAGGTGCTATTTGAACTTGCCCGCTATCACGCCCCCTCCACCATCTTCCTGGACGAACTGGAGTCGGTGATGAGTCAGAGAGGCACTGCTCCCGGGTAACAGACAGGGTTTTTTTTGGTCGTCATTTCTCCCCTCTTGTAAGTGTGTTTGATGGTCGGAAGCCCATTGACATTTACCAGCAGAATGAGCCTATTAATAAGCCCACAAATTTTCTGCAGACACACGGAAAGGTTTTTAAATTAGATCTTGTTAACTGAAAAGCTGATTTAAGTAGTTTTTATAACCGGAGATGTCATCCTCCCTCCCCTCTATCCCCACAGAGTGGTTTTTAAGCCTGCAGATCATCCAGCCCCAGGATCCCAGGTTGCCATAACAGTCCTGCTGGCTCAAAATATCTGCCTGTGACTGCCTCTTCTGGAGCCAGAGGGCTGCCGGTGGGACAGGGCTTGCCCCCTGAGCCATTGCAGTGGGCTGAGTCTGTGTGTCACTCCTTCATTGTGGTATGTGAGGCCAGGAAACCACCACTTCTCTGTCCTCAGCTTATGGCTCAGCATGTCCGCGTTTAAATATGTCACATAGGTTATTTCTAAAGATTAAGTGTCCCCAGCAGGAAGAAACACTTCTTAGACTGTGATAAGCCTTCTGTTTATGCTTTCAAAAGGCCAAGTAGGGGTTTTTGTTTTTGGCTTGGTTTTAAGACTGTCTATTTTTCCCTCAGTGATGAATGTCATCATATGGTATACCTAACATGTACCAATAAACTTAATGAATAAAAAAAAGACTGTCTTTTTATGTCTAGAGGGGTTTTTTAAAATTAAATTTGGCAACAGTGGCTTGAAAAAACAACAAATCTTGAAATTCTCGATACAGATGCATTTATTAGTGACATTTCAGGGTCCACTGTTAAGGCAGAACTAATAGCAATAAAAAGTAAGTAATTTGCTTGTTGGAAGTATAACTAGAATATAATTTATGGAATTTTACTCATCGGAAACCGTTTTCCCAGGAGGAAAAAACAAGCATGAGAAGGTTCCCAAGTCCTAGGAGGTTTATACAGTTCATTAAAATGTAACATTTTTGAGGGCTTAACAGTTGTGGGCTGCAGCATTTTTTCTCCCTATACTGAGCTTGATGGGGGCAAACAATTGCACACCAGCTGGGAGGCCTCTGACCTCTCTGGGAGTCATTCTCTCTGTAAAGACTGGTCCTTGTGGCCGACCTTTCCCTAAGGACCTGTGCACTGGTTCTCAGCTTTACTTTGTTGATTTTCTCCCCAGGGTTTCCCACAGGTTTGATTGGACCAAAGTGGGAGCCCTGCCATCCTTGAGTGGGCTCCAGGCTTGCCCCTCATTCTGGTTTCCTTGTCTTCAACTTAAGACTCTAAATCTAGTCTTCAAAGGATCAGGGAATAAGGCCAGGTGCTTTGAAGTCTTCCTGGATCATATTATATTAAAAAATCATGTTTATGGGCAAATGCCAAGTATACAAGAACTATACTGTGAGAGAGTCTTAGAAAACGATAGCTGGATTGTAAGAACCATGGATCCTAAAAAGTTATGTATACATTGAGCACCCTCAGTCTGAAAATCCAGTATCTGAAGTTTCCAAAATTTGAAACTTTTTGTGTGATGACGTGATGTTCTATGTGGAAGATTCCACACCATGAAAATTTGTTTTAGCACATGAATTATTTAAAATATTGTACACACTACCTTTAATTTATATGTATAAGGTCTATATGAAACAAATTAATTTCATGCTTATACTCCCATTTACACCTTGGATTTCATGTCATTGTCTTGCTTCTCATTAGAAGAGAGTGAAACTGATTCAGTATATTACAAAATGTGATTGAAAAATACAGAGAATGCTTTTGTAATAAAAGTTACACTGCCTTTAATCCTTGTTAAAATACTCTCTTCTGCTTTGAACACACTTATTTCATCATTCTTGCCACTTTCCAAAGCAGTTCTGGAAGTCCTCTTTTATGAGTATCTTTTTTTTTTTTCGGTACTGGGGATCAAACTTGGGTCCTTGCACTTGCGCAGCAGGCAGCAAAACCACTGAGCTAAATCCCCGGCCCTTTTATGAGTATCTTTAGTTGTGCTGTAGTGGTTGCCTCAATGTCCTGAAAAACATTTACCTTTCATAGTCATTTTGACTTTGGGAAAGAGCCAGGAATCACACAGCCCCAGATCCAGACATGTTGTAATGTTTTTATTTGACAGAAATTGCTGTAAACATTTTGAATTGATTCAGGACATTGAGGCAGCCACAGTGGCACAACTAAAGACATTCACAAAACAGCACTTCTAGAACTGCTTCAGAAAGTGGCAAGATGGGATAAGTGTGTTTGAAGTAAAAGGGAGTACTGTGAGGAGGATTAATGTCGATGTGTCTTTTGCTGTAATAATTTTTTAAAATTTAAACATCTAGCTTGGGATTACACAAAGTGTATATTGTGTTCTACAGAAAAATCCACTGTATTTTGTGATCATGCCTCATAGTTCATCTGTCTTAACAATTTAGAGCTATAAATGATACTATAAGAAATACTGTATGAAAGTACTTCCCTGCATGCTATGTAAATGAAAGTGATTATTCTCAGTCATGCCACTGTTTAAAGGGTACATAATGCTGCAGATAGACACAACTGGGCTAGATTTAATATGCCAGTGGCACTGTTTACCTCTCAGTTATTTTCTAGTCCACTGCTAACTCTAGATTTTCTTTTAAATAGCATCTTTATATTTATTTATTTCCTTTCTACTATTTCTATGTGAAAATAATACCATCTTGTTTGTTTTCTCTAAGTCTATTATGAGTGACCACATTTGCTATCAGAACAGAACCCTTTCTACAGTCACTCTTGCGTGAGGGCAAAGGCTCCACCACTTGAAGGAATCATGTCTCCGTGTTTCTCTGCAGAGGAGAACATGAAGGCAGCCTGAGGATGAAGACAGAGTTACTGGTGCAGATGGATGGGCTGGCACGCTCAGAGGATCTTGTATTTGTCTTAGCAGCATCTAACCTGCCATGGTAAGAGATCAAGAATGTACATGTTGGACACATTTCTTTGAGCCACTAAGTACAGATGAAGATTTTATAGTGACCACTTTAGGCAAGGCCTAGCTCTGTGAGATTAATTTGAAGGCTTACTCTTCATGTCCCCAGTGCCTGCTATCTGTATCATGAAAAAAGTCTGCCTTGATAGAACACAGGCCATGGCTACCATTAAAAGTGGCTACCATATTTAAAGTGGAAATTTTGAGTTTAAAGCTAAATTATATAAATCAGTTCTCTTGTATCATCTACATCCACAGATGCAACCAATTTGAGATTGAAAATATTGGAAAGAAATTGTGTTTGGATCAAACCTGTATATACTTTCTTCCTCTTGTCAACATTTCCTAAACAATAAACTATTTTGTAGCATATACACTATATTGTAAGTAATCTGGAAATGATTTAAAGTGTACAGAAGGATGTACACAGATTATGTGCTAATTCTAAGCTATTTCATATAAGGAACTCAAACATCTTCAAATTTTGGTATCCACAGGGGTTGAGATCATGGAGCCAGTCCTCCCAATCCTCTCAGGGATGCCTTTACTAGGTTTAAATTAAGCAGGACTTTGGTACAGAACTCTAAAATGCTTAAAAATCTCCAAGTGGCAGCGCAAGGTCCCGAGTTTGATCTCCGGAACCAAAAAAAAAAAAAAAAAAATATCCAAGTGGCAAAGAATATTTCAGAAATAATGTATTTGGATTATATCACTATTAAAATTAAACTTTTTAAAGAGGGAAATCTTTTTCTTACCATGCAGAAATAGAAGGCTAAATAATCTCTAATTGAAAATATAATCTATACTCAGAGTCTTTTATTCAAACTATATCCCAGAATGACTTAAAAACAGTTCTAGAAGTGGAACTGGAAAATAAGAAATGTTAACGAAGGAAAAACTATATTTACTTGGAGAATATATTTTTAAATAATTATAATCCCTTTATAATTCTAAGAATAATTTTCACATACATGTGTTTTTAGAGCCTCAGGTGAGGCAGGAGACAGATAAAGGAAACACTGTTATTCCCATTTTCAAAGGGGAACCGAAGTCAAGAAAGGTAGATCCACCCAAAGTCAACAGCTGTCTTGCGAAAAATCTGGGACTTGTGACTCCCTCCCACTACCCACATACCAATATCTTTTTCTACATTCAAAAATGAAAAAAGAAAACTCTTCTGTAGTATATGCTGATCATCTGGGTCCCAAACAAGAAGTCACTGAGATGAAATTATGATGCTCCCGTGTAATCTGTTTTTTAAACATATTCACTATTTAAACGTGGCTCCACCTCTCTATGCATTTATAAGACTTTCTCTATTGTGTTCAGGTGATCAGCATTTTACGTTTTCGAAGACAGTGATATTTATACACAATATTAAAGTGGAGTCCAAATAGAGAAGCACTGTTTAAATGTATTTTAAAAAATAAAAATTACTGGAGGCCAATGTTTTGGACTAAGCTTCTACATGGGATCCCAATGGACCCAACTACAAATCAAAATAGAGCCATTCATGCTAATTTCACTTGACTAAATCAAACCTGAGTTGTTATCTGAGCTTTTAGGAAATCAGGAGAGATATTAGCCCAAATTCCCAAACAGGCTAGTTTCAATTGGCATGATAATGAAATCCATCTGCTTTAATCTTTACCAAAAAAGAAAAAGTAACCTGATGTTAACCAATCAACTATTTTTATATTGTTCTGTCTCCCTGTCCCTGCTTGACAAGGAAAGTAGCTTTGAAATGACTAATCCCCTTTTTTTTGATTTCTGTTTTCTTCAGCCTTTGTAAAATCACCCTGTTTTGAGCTCACTGGAACATTATGTTTTATGAAATTAAGTGTTACCTGATTGAGATTTTTAAACTTAATTGTATAATTTTGTCTCTCAACAAACGGGATTATGGAATCCTTTAGGAAAGAAATCCTCTTTGAAACAGGGTTGCTCATAACCACTTCAATATGCCCTGGGTTGACTGTGTCTACTGCAATGAGTATGTTAAAAAAATGTCTGTTTACAATTGGTTACTAAACTGGTATGTATGCAAACAAGGTTTGCACTGTGTAATTACTTGTTCTCCTAATCCTCTTCCAATCTAAAACAGATCCCCTACACTTCCATTGACTTACTGATTGCTAGGGAAATTATCCTGGCCACTGTCCAAACTTCTGGGATTTGGATTATTATATCCTAATGGAAGTAGGTAACTTGTTCTCCTTACCCCTCTAATCTCTCTTGAATAAAAATCAGATTGATTATATTTAGGGTCAGTAGGAGTTTTTGGCAAACATACTTCATAGATGATCCTACTTACGTCACATTGCATTACCTCCAGAGGTATGCACTATCTTGTCTCACTTTTGGTGATGCCAAGATTGGTTTGTGAGTCCAGATATGTCAGTCTGGTTCCTCCCCTGTTCAGTTCTCATTAGTAGTTTTAGCATCTGGCAATGATCTTTGCCTGAATTGTTTCATTATGGGTAGAATCCAATCACGCCTTCTAATTGATAGCTGCAATTTTTCTCTATAACAGAACTTTCCCTCATCCAGTAGGATTACTTGGTTACTTTGAAGTATAGTTTATACTAAAAAAGCAGCAATTGTTAGATATACAAAGTGATCCCCTAGCCAACTCTAGTGGTGATGAATGGGTCAGTCATCAGCTTCTCTCTCCCTCCATATCTCTGTCTATATTTCACTGTGATTTCATGGCTTGTTTGGTACAACCTCAGTAATTTTGTGCACTTTTAAAGAGTTTAATGATATAAAACTTACATACTACAAAATTCACTCATTTAAATTGTACAATTAAATGGCTTTAGGTGCAGTCAAATCATTTAACAATGGGGTCACATTCTGATAAACGCATTGTTAAGCGATTTCATCATTGTGGAAACAGAATGTACTTACACAAACCTAAATGGTATATATAGGTCAGTGACTCAGTGTGGCCTCTTGATGCAATCAGAAGACCTGGCAAATACGAGACGTATAAGCTGTGGCCTGCATCACACAGCAGACCTTATTTGCAGCAAACACTTTTTGTAAATAAGAATACATTCTAAAATAATAATTAAAAGTATAGAATAGTAAATGCATAGGTCAGTAACAGTAGCTTATTAGCATTATCAGGTATTGTGTATTGTACATAATTGTATCAGAGTAGGTTTGTTTATACAAGGATCACCACAAACACATGAGTAATGTGTTGCATTATAATGTTATAACATCACTAAGCAATGAAACTCTCTCAGCCCTCCTGCGACCTGCATAGCATAGGGTCTGAAGCTGGGGAGAGCAGTAGGAGATGAAGAAAATTGTACAATAATAAGAAAGAAGGATACATACCAAGATTAAGCTTTATAGCTGGGACCAGGTGGGACCATAGCCTCATGAGCTAATGGCCGCCTGGCATCCAGTGTGGTCTTTATTTATAGTGTAGGAAGGCGGGGTAACTAGTGCCACGTGGCCTAGGTTGAACGTGATTTTCTGGAATTGGGGCAGGCGTAGAAAAGGAACAAGGATACATAATGTAACTGTCTCCTGGGGCTGTGCCACCCAGGATCCACAATCTATGGAGGAGAAAGGGAGCAGGGATTAGGCGAAAGGCCATCTTCAGCCTCAGCCCATGGCATAGCCCCAGTATGATCTCATAGGAGAACTGTCATATATGCTGTCATTGCCTGAAACATCATTATATGTTGTATGACTCTGATATATTTATAGGATTGTACAGCTATTACCACAAATTTAGAAAGTTTTCTTAGGCTCCAAAAGAAGCTATACCCGTTAATCATTGCCCCATTGTCTCTTGATCCTCAATAGGAGGCAACCACTGATCTATTTTCTGTCTTTATAGATTTGCATATTCTTCTACCTGTGAATGGAATTACTGGGTTGTGTGGTATCTATGTTTAATCACTGTAGGAATCATCAAACTGTTTTGCAGAGTGGCTACATCATTAATGGATGAGCATTCCAACTTTGCCACCTCCTCAGGAATGTTATTTTCTGTTTCTCTTTTTATTATTATAATAGTCATGTAAGTAGATGAGAAGTGGTGCCTTGTAGTTTTGATTTGCATTATGTCCATGAAGACTAATGCTGTTGACAAGCATCTTTTCAGGTACTTTTTGGCCAATTGCATATCTTCTTTGGAGAAATGTCTTTTCACATTTATTGCTTGTGTAAAAATTTATTTTTATTATTGATTTAGTTTTAAAATTCGTTCTGGATGTAAGTTGTTATCAGATATATGATTTGTAAATATTTTCAACCTAAATAATATACAAAGAGTCTCCGCAGATTAATTAGTTTTTGGGGATGAGCAGACCACTGCACATACCATGCTAACTATGATGTATGGTATGTGAACACATATACCATGCTAACTATGGTGTATTCAAGGAGAGTGAGACAAGAGAAAATTTTTTAAAGCAATATGAGGAGGATCACATAGTTTGACACAAGAATCCCTTCACACAAACATTAATAATAAGGGTGTTCAGAGCTCAGTAACAAGTCTGGCACCAACAAGATTGAACACACAGTTACGAGACAGATGTCCTTGCAGAAGTCTTCTTTATATAAGGCTGTGATGGCTTTTGTGCACGACTGCGGTTCTGGCAAAGCCTTTGGTGAATATTTCTTGTTATCAGGGACCTATGCACAAGACCCCCTCCCTTATAACCTCTTGTTTTTATTTGTTGCTTTTTGTTAGGGTTTAACACAAGTGACTTCATTTTGACTGTGACAACTCCCTTCCTTCTTTCTGTCCTTCCTTCCCTTCTTCCTTTCTTCCTCCCTCCTTCCCTTCCTCTCTCCCTTCCTGCTTCTGTTTTTCCTTCATTCCTTCCTTCTGTCTTCCTCCCTTTTTTCCTCCTTCCCTCCTTCTCTCCATTCTCTCCCTCTTTCCCTTCTTCATTCTTGGCTTCCCTCTCTCCCTCCCCCTTTTTTCTCCTTCCTTTCCTTCTG